TGCATCGGCAGGCGGACTCTCAACCACTGCGCCACCAGGGAAGCCCAGCAGGTGGATTCTTAACCGCTGTGCCACCAGAGAAGTCCCTTTGATCCATATTATTTCAATTAATTATTTGATTAAATGATTCAGGGTATGTAAAATACTTGGTACAGTGCTTAGTATATAGAAAAACACTTAGCATTAGCTATAATCCTCTCAACAACTTTGTAAGTTAGTAGAAATTTTTTCTTCCTTTCATTTTATAGCTGAGTGAACAGGTTTACAGAAATTATATTTTGCTCAGGTCTTTCTACCTCTAGGTTTCCTGCTCTTCTCACTTTATCACATTGCCTCAGAAACAAAGTATTCCAATTTACATTTCATTTTTAGGGCACAGTATCACAGAGCTGCAAAGGGCCTTCAGTACTGTGTAGTCCAAGTTTCCTCATAGCATTGGAAAAGTTGAGGACAAGAGTAACTAGGTGACTTCCTCAAGGTTATACAGATAGGTAGTCTTAGGACTAAAACTGGGACCTGGGTCTTCTAACTTATTCAGTACAGAGAACTAGAAGTCTGTAGTCCTAGATGGAATTCTAAATTCTGTCCTAGCTTGTCCTAAAAAGCTTAATGAGATGCAATACTTCTTTTTACCTCTGGGTACCACCAGCTTTACAATGAGTACTCTTTTATGTTTATCTGATATCTGCTATTTTTGGTTAGTTAGTAGTCCCTGTAAAGTAAAGGTTTTGAAATTTGTGGTATCTGCTTTTCTTTGTTTAATTCATTTATTGAGCACCTACCATTTGGTAGTCTTAGGGATACAACGGCAAACTTGCCTCATAACAGGGCCCTTTGCCAGATTGCTGGCACATGTTTGGATTTCCAGCAAGACAGCCTGGGGGATGAAGGAACTCCTAAATCTCTGGGAGAACTCTGTGCTCTAAAGCCCAAATTAAAGTCAACATCATTGTGACTGTTGTGGACTCATTTAGGATATCACTTAGTGATGGTTTCTAAGGAAGCCCAGAGGAGGAAGTAATGTTATTCCAGAGGCAGATGTCGCCCTGGAAAGATGAGGAAGAAGAAAAAAATTAAGAAAACAGGGAAACTTATTAGATTGAAGTAATTTTTTTCACACTCTCCTTGTGCAGTAGTCCGGACATGTATTCTTACCTTAGTTGGACAAATGAGGATATTGAAGTCCAGAGAGATATAATGACTTGCCCCAAGTCACTCATCTAGTTGGTATCAGACAAAGGAGGACTGGAACCTGGGTTTCCTGGCTTCTTGTCAGGAACCTGGGTTTCCTGGCTTCTTATACCTGATTACTGCAACAAATGAAAATGACAACATACAAGGGGCAGTGGTTGTGGGTATAGGCCTGTAGTACACCCAGCTGCTTTTGTTGTTGTTTGTTTGTTTATTTAGTGCCAAGGCTGAACTGAACTATTTCTGTTTCCAGCATCAGCATCTCTATTGACTTAAATAAGACTTTTTGTGGGAGAAAGCAACCTGCAAGCTCTGTTCTCAGGCCAGGCAGACAGGAACTCTGTTAGTTTTTCTTCACGAGATGGATATTTCCTAAGGCGGCAGCTACCACTGATCCCAACTTTATCCTGGTAGATCTGAGAAGTCAGAGGTCGGAGACCACATCCGTGAAGTACCTCTCATTAGGGTCACCTGGGACAGGAAGGTTGCTTGTTTTCTAACTTTAACACTTAGGAGAGTCATACAGCCTATGACCTTTGCCCTTCTTAACTGGTGATAGGGGCCCTTTGTCAGTAAAGCATTCATGTGGATTCTACTCCACTGTTTCAGGTCACTCCCCCTATTAAGTCTGAGGCAGCAAAGGAGTGAGTTGAACTGCTTTTCTCACTGTGAGGGAGGTACATGCATTATGCTCAGCCAGTTAACAGGTCAGAGGAATGGGTTCCCCACTGTGTGAAATGTCTTCCTTTATCATTATGTGTGTATTCTTTAAAAACTTGCCTTAGCATCAGGCACTCTGGAAAATGCAATGTTTCTTTTCTAGTACAAAATTAGAAATATTAACTTCTTAGATTTTTAGGTGAATACTCATTGTGTTTGTGTACGTACGTACATTTGTGTGTCCCTATACAGTGTTCCCATTGCTTCCTCATTCTTACAGAATGAAACTCTGAAGTTTGAAAGTGTCTGAATCCTGAAGCAAGATAATTGACTGTGACAGAAGCACAGTAACCAGAAGACCTGGGAGGCCATGAAAGATTTGCATTGCAAATATAAAAAATAAATAATGAGGCTTCTTTTTCTCCCTTACAGGGAAACTGGATTCCAAGATCCATCAAGGAGCAAAGAAGGGGTTAATGAAGCAGAATAAAGCTGTCTGACCCAGGAAAAAAGGAACTATACAGCATAGTGGAGTTTTGTGTACTAAAATTGCTATCCACTGGTCCTTTGGAATTGAAGCAGTAGACATCTAAAGGCTTGGCATCAGGCTTGAACCTCTCAGAATTTAAACTCATCAAAATCTGTATATTTTTCTTAACGAGTGGGATTCTTACTTTATGTAGTGGGTCAAAAATCTTTGGATACATTATTTATAAAGACTTATTTTAAAAATTCTAGATCTTTGACATTTTTCTCAGAATGATACAGAAGAAAAAGGAACAAGTTGGAAATTATTTTCCTCTCTGAGGCTTGGATTTGTTTTAGTTAGGAAAATTCTTAACCTAGGTTAACAGTATTTTAAGGGACCACTTGAATTTTAAAAGTTTTTTTTTTTCAAAGTGATGACCTGGTAGAGTATTAGGATGTTTGAGGAATTGTGTTTAATAGAAACGTGTGATGGGACAGAGAGGTTTTTAAACAACTTTGCTGCTCTAGTCCAACATCTCTTCAAGTGAATAGTATTCAGCTGAGTAACCTTCGCTGGCAGATTTTGGTGGGGGGTGGGGTGAGGGATAACCTGAAGAGGTGCTGCCACTTTGTTCTTTGGTTTGAGACATTAGGACATAAGAGGATCAGACTGGGATGAGATAGAGCCACCTGCTAAAGCAGCATGAAACCGCCCTGTTTATTTTGTTGGTATTGCAAAAGTATCACTTGGATGGAGAATTAGAAACAAAAATAAAATCCTTTCAGTAAATGCATCCAAATATCCCAAAATGCTGAAACCAAACCCTTTAAGCCATCCATACCCCAAGAAGCTATGAGCTTTGGAAAAATAGGAGGTTGGTTTGAAATGAGATTTTTACTAGTCATTCTGGTCCCACTTAGTGAAGCACTTTTTTTCTGAGGCTGTTCAGAAGAGCTGTCAGAATCTCAGTTGCTGGCATCCTCAGGAAATTCACGGTCTTAAATGTGTATGTTCTGCTTTTTATAAAGCAGCACTACCACACTGGGGAAGTTGGATTCCCTCCAGCAGTTGTGTGCATGACTTAAAAAAGAGAGCGCAAGGGAGAGAAAAAAGTGCCCTGTGTTATGAAAAAGATTAATTTCCCCTTTCTTTAATCCTTCATATTCAGCATTTATTTGCATTGAAATGCCTCCACTCATTATGCATTGATGCTCACTCAACTGTGAACCCTGCTTGTTGCAGAGCTCTGGGCATTGGTTTTGTGGGGGCCTGATCACTCTGGATTCCCAGGCAAAACCCACCCAATTCTTGTTCTAGTGATGAAGGCATGTTGTATTCTTTTTTTTTTTTTTTTTTTTTTCAATTTTTTTAGAAATTTTAACCGAATGTAAAAAAAACAAGGGAAGACCTTATGACCATGTGACGTTGTGCTCTGATGTCGTGTTGACTGACTGCAGGCAAATGTCATATTTATTCTAGATTGTGGGAAAGTTTGTTCAACTTCTGTAGAGAAAGTTGGAAAGGACGCCAATGGCAGTTCTTTAGGGGGAAAAAAGTCTCTCTCTGGCCTTCTGCAGACCCTAGTAATATTAATGAAGCCACACTGGGTTCACTATGCAGTTAATAGTTTACCAAGCAGTAGCAATTCGAATTCTGTGCTGGAATTGTCTGGTTTTCTTAATACCAAAATAAAATTGAAAGGTAGGAGGTGAAGAACCTAAGGAGCAAAAGAAAAAAAAAAAAAGTTTATCTTTCTGCCTTTTTATTTGAACGACAGACAGCCTGAACACAGAGTATGGATTGATTTTTCCACCTGGATAGATGGTGTGTGCATGCCTAAAGAAAAACATCAGGAGATGCAATAGTTCAGGTTATGCAACCATTTTGTGTGCTGTGATAAGAAAGTTTACAAGAACTTTACAAGTTTATGAGAAACCCACCTCAGCATCCAAAATAGGCAGCTGGAGCCACATGAGTAAAGGCAGAGTAACTTGGAAACTTCTCCTTTTCATGGTTAGACTGTGAAAGATTCTTTTCAGTTCATGTGGTGGTGGTATAAGGTCTCTCTTTTATTTGTGAAGACACCCGGGAGGAAGTGTGGGAGAGACTTGGGGGTAGATGGCCGTCAGTTGCTCAGTGATGAATAGCATAATTTAAAGCCTAGTGGAAAATCTTAGCAGCCTGAGTACAAACTCACCCAGGAGTAGCCTTTCAGTACTTTACAGCACTTTGCACTGACCCTGTAACTCTGGGACAGCTTGGCCTGAGGGAAGGTCCACATTTCTGAGCTGGTTTACTTCTACAGCCTAAATATCTGTACCCTCTTTGGATGGTTGGGTTCATTGGCTCTCAATTTGTATAGTAGCTAAAGGATTCAGCGTTTTTGTTTTTCTAGTCAGGACACAGTCTCAATTATATAAGCTCAAAGTAGGATATATATAAAACTGGAGTCTTTCTCTGCCAGGATTTTTAGGAGGCTTTGGCCTTGCAGATAGATGTTTGGAATGGAGTAGGGGTGGGGTGGGGTGGTATTTGCTTGCTATAGCTAATCTGGAGAAAAAACTAGGTGTCCCTTTTTTTCTTTTTAAGCTGGAAGTTTACAGAAACCCGTTTTTTCCTAGGGAGTAGGTATAAAAAATTGACTATAAAGATTGCTTTTACAAATAATTACAAAGTTATGGCTTTTTATGAGTTATAACCCTAATCTCTTTCCATTTTAACTACTGTCTCTACTGAAGTCCATTTATGTGGATTTCATTTCGTTTGGTAAGTTTTTTTTTTTTTTTAATGCTTTTGCTAGAGCTCCTAGCCAAGATAGAGACAGTATTGGGGTTGTTCTCTTGCCCAGTTAGACAAGGCCAGTAAAAAAGCAAGCATCTATTAAACTAGAGAAATCAGCTAACTTCAGTTTATTAGGCCTCGGAGGGTAGGAAAGAAAGTCCTGTGATGAAGGATTTTTTTTCCTTGAGATTCAAATAGCAAGTGCACATCTGCTGTTCTCAGCTTCTGTGAATGTGTTTGGAGGGAGGTGATCCATATCACAGGCTCCAGCAGCATCAAGGAATCTAGCATGTGGAGGGCTTTCTAATTCTCTCATGCAGAGAAGAAAGAACATAGCCACAGTGCCATCCTCTGACACAAAGAAACTTCTGTAAATGTGTGTCCATTTATGTGTGTGTACATAATGTGGATTAATTCATGTGGTGAAACCTGGTAGACTGATTAGATTTCTGTTGTGACAATGAAGAGTCTAGAAAGAAAACCTAGTAAATATTGTACCCTGACTTGGAGTCAGGTAGATAAGGTGGGGCAGAGAGGGCAACTGAGAATGTGTAGATGTGTCACAGGAAGGGAGTGAGATGTTGGGACAAGGGGCAAAAAATGTCAATAAATAAGATTTGAGGAGCATCTAGAGCTGTGCTAATATAGTAGCCACTAGCCACATGTGATTATTTAAATTAAGTGAAATTAAGATTCAGTTCTTCAGTCACAGTACCATATTTCAGGTGTTCACATAACTACATGTAACTATTGACTTCTGAATTGGACAGCTCAAGAATAGAATATTTCCATCATTGCAAAAAGTTCTATCAGACACTGCTTGTTCAGAGCAGGGGTCAGCACACTTTTTCTGTAAAGGGCCAGACAGCAACTATTTTAGGCTTTCCAGGCCATATGGTCCCTGTTACAACTATTTAACTCTGCTATTGCAGTGCAAGTGAAATGAATCCATAGATAATACGTAGGTGAATGAGCATGGCTATGAGCCAGTAAAACTTTTTTTATGGACACTGAAATGTGAATTAATATATTAATATAATTTTCACATCTCAAAATAGTCTTCTTTTGATTATTTTTCAGCCATCCAAAAATGTAAAAGCCATTCTTATTCTTAGTTCATAGGACATACCAAAACAGGCATTGCACCTGATTTGACCTGTGGGCCATATTTTGCCAAACCCTGGTCTAGAGGAATAAGAAGTCAAAACTTAAGATTCTTTTACTGTATAGGACATCAGTTGCTTGAAAATTTTTAATGGTTCTTCTAGGCTTGAAAAATTTCTGTCTAAAAGTTGAAGTTCACTGTAGGAATGTTTGCTTTGTTCCCCATTTTTGCAGTCCAGTCTTTTTCAGGGGTAGATTCATGCTCTTCAGTAGAAGATGACTACTCAAGTGTTAACCTTTAATTCATACCTAAGTCTCTAAACCCTTCTCTTTGTCTACCTGCAAGTAGCTGAATCCTCGCTTGTAACATCGTCCAGTACAGATTAGAGGTCTTCTGTCACCTGGGGTCAGTTTTGTTCTTGTACGGTCCTAGAACAAGCTGAATATGGGTGGATCAAGAGGAGATTATTTTTCCTAGGCCAGATAGGCTTAGTGTTCATCTTTAGCCATCACCCCCTGACACACACACACACATACATGCACACACACCTTTTGCATGTGTATTTGGAGATATAAAGGGATTTTATGACCTGGCTGTACCCCCAAGTCATGTACACTTTTGAGTGGCACTGTTGAAGGATGCCTCAGGGTAAGGGAAAGGAAAGATAAAAACTGCAGAGCTGGGAATTCCCTGGCGGTCCAGTGGTTAGGACTCCGCACTTCCACTGCAGGGGGCACAGGTTTGATCCCTGGTCAGGAAACTAAGATCACACATGCTGCGCAGCCAAAAAAAACCCTGCAGAGCTAAGATGGTCAAGGACATAATTGAGGCTAAGACTTGAGAATTAAGATAAATTTCTTTTCGCAAGGGAAGGGGGTGGACGTTTTAGGGAACAGGTGGTGAAAAGTATGATAAGTTTCATGAGTGAGAGGTGAGTGGGAGGGTTCACTTAAACAAGGACAGGATGCCTACTAGATAGAGTGCTGGGCAATCAGATGAATGGCAGATAAGGTAAAAGTTACGATAGTTGGAATGGTGGGTTGGAAAAGAACCGTAGGACTTTTAGATAATAAAAGGCAACAAGATTTGGTGATATGGGGTGGTGAGGTGAAAAGTGATATTAGAAGGATTAGAAATGGGTACTTTTAGGAGGAAAACTAGTGGTAATCCTACAAAAGAAATTGGAGAACAAAGGATAAAAAATTAGGGGATTGATACTTCGCTGAACCAAGGGATA